CTTCGATCTCCACTTCACCTCAGTCTTACTGCTTTAATGCATCCAAGCGGAGACAACCGCATTGCTGCAGCCTCAGTGCACCGACCACTTAAAAGGCAGCAAAAAGCCAGCCCTGGTTGCCACAAGGCTTGTACAGGCTCATTGCCGGAGGTAGGCTGAGTGACCCAGCGCTGCCCAGATGTCAGGAGGAAAGGCTGAGTCCTGGTGCACTGCGCCGATACTTTCCAGTATGGTCTAACATCTGTTTCAGCTGCTGGCATCCAACCTGCTGAACTCCCAGAAAGCAGTCCTGTGCCATCCTGAGGTGGGGAGGGGGTGGGTGGCGAGGGCAAACTGACTCACACTGCTCAGAAAGGTAATTGCATGCAGCGTTTCGAGCCAAGCACTTAGCTTTTCCAGAAGGCCAATGGTGCTGGAGTATTGTATCCTTCGTTTCTTTTTTTCCATACGCACATCCCCTTTCACGCTGTGTATATTCCAAAAGTAAGTCTCAGGATGACAGAAGCCCCCGTTGCCAATTTTTAAACTTCATTTTTAATGAAAAACATGTTTTCCAACTTACAAAAATGACCTGAACTCACAGGCCTTTCATTATTTGTGGTAATTCCCTCAGCTAGGAAGACCTGGTTTTCCTCATTTGGGAAAACCTGTGGCAATGAATCTTAAGCACAAAGATCTTCCATTTTATCAGAACAGCTACGCAGCACCTAATTTTTCTATGCTGGATTGGCATATACATCACATACTCTGTTCTTTTTAATGAACAGCTAACTACACAAAAGGTTTTTGGTTAATCATGTTAATACATTTGTTCTACCACCATATGGGTTCATTTTAATATCTGACCACTTAGCCTCTTCTTCCATTTACTCTCTTAGAAGAGAACAGACAACCCTGTTGTTCTGGTTTGCTTTCCTCACACACAATTGGGGGGAAAAGGAAATCTCATGAACGCAAGCAATCTTTTCTTAAATCACTCAAAATGCTTGATGTGCTGGTAATTGTGCAACTCTAGGCACTCTGAACATCTGGAGTTGACAGAAATTTACAAGAAAACAAAAGATTGATAATTTCAGGCTGTTTTTTTTTTCTTCTGAGCCCTTCCACACTTGAGACGTGGTGCAACTGTAGATCCACGTTTAAAAGAAACATTTGACAAAACTGCATCACAAGTATTTTTCTAATTGTAATTCTCAGGGGAGCGTGCTTTTCATTTGTTTACAATAGTAAGGCTAAAGGAGCTTTAACATGAGCAAAGAGTGATGCCATTTACAGAGTGATGGATGATAATTACTGTGTAAAGTCACCACTCAAGCAATTTAACATCCAATACTTTAAAGCTTAAGGATGTGGCAAGGATGTGCTGCAATTAAAAAAGGGAAGTAGATTTTACCAAGAAGCCTGGCTGAATATCCAAGTGGCCCATGGCTTTCAGTCTGCTTTTGTGGGTCACAGCCTAAACTACAGCAAGACTCCAATGTTCTGTTTTTACAGGTTCTTTTCAAATACTAAAACAAAAGTCCAATTCAATGATGCAGTCCTAACAATTTAAAAGTTGTCTTCAGCTTTCTTTTTAAGTCTTGGCAAAATAAGCAAATAAATCAGATACAGCATTTTTGTTTGTCTATGCACAACTAACATGAGGTTATCCTAAACACAAGTTACAGTACCAACTTTAAACATACAGTATAAGTATTATACAACATGACTATTTTTCATCAGTAATGTTTCTTACTATTAAGCTGTGTTTTTTTTTTTGCTAGTCTGGCTGGTATTTGATTGACTTTTTTTGTACATAACACAATTTACTTGGCAAGTCAAATGCATTAGTTTTAATAAGGTATAGATGTTGTGGGAGAAGCCATTGTTTCCTTATTCACTTTCGCTCATCAGACCTCTCAATGAATTCTAATGAAGAAAGGCATTCAGTCTGTAAAATTGTTTAAATTTGTTGTCTCCTGTGAGTTGTAGACGGGAGCAATCTGTCAGGAAAACATTGAACGAAATTACTCTGCGTGCAGGAATTTCCACTGACAGCCACTCACTTACAACACAGCCCGTGTGTCCATGTATTGACAGGCAAATTACACTTTGTAACACTCAAATGCAACTAGCCAGTTTAATTTTCACTGATCTGGCCAAAACCTTTTGTCACTTTTTTTTTTAAAAAAGAAAAAAAATCGAAGTAAAAGGCTTTATTGCTCAGGCCCCAGACTGTTATGACATACAAAATTGTTAAAGCGTGCGGGATCAACATTAAGACTGGCAGCCCGGCCAGCCCCTGACTGGATGGCTGAGCACATTACCAGCCGTGTATTGTGGGAATTAATTCCTCCAATAAGATGATTTTTTAAGGTTCATATATTTCACAATCTAAACAGAATAAATTGGTTAAAATAATACCTTGCCAGGATGCTGACACGAAGAGATGTTTTAATTAGAAATACTTATTCAGCCAATACCTAATTGCATTCCATGTAGAAACATCCACGAAATCAAGTTCAGGAGCTCCAGGTGTGGTGCTGCTACACTCAAGCCTGTGCTCAAGAACTTTGACTGTACCTTATCTAACCTACAATGAACACAGGGGGCTCAAATTAGGGCAGTGATTTCCACAGGGCAGACACCGAGCTGAATTGAGAAGATCAATAAATCTCCATTGTGACTGGGGAATTTCAATTTCCTGACCAGGCAGGGCATCATCACAGAAGAACAGACAGAAATATGGTCAAAAAACAATGTGACCTTGGCACAGAACTAATTGTTAAACAAAGCAGGGCTTCTTTGCTTTTTACCGCAAATTACATATTGAGAATGTTGTTGTTGCTGTTGTTCTTCCTTTTAAAAGAACACGTTGTCTAGCAATTTTGTCCTTAACTGACTTAACATATGCCTACAGCATCAAGACAAATGACTTTTCTCATGTTCAAATGTACTGTATATATGTAAGTCAAGAGTAACATCAATATTTACCCTTTTTTCTAACTTCTTCTGTGCTTCATAAGCAGGATAACTATAGTTACAAGCCTTGTTGATCCCATCTATGTTTCTCTTAATATTAGAGGAGTATCTGTGCAAAGCAAATTCCAACAGTGTCCCAAAATACATAGCAGCCTGTAGACTTAATTCAGGAGGAATGCACCTTTTTGTTTACTGTGTTCTCTAAAGGTCAGCCAAGTCATGGTCTTGGAGTTGCCATTTCAGACTGTTCCCAGGGTTAAAAACATTATCAAAATTAATGGTCAAAGTCCCTCAAACTTTAGATATATGACTATTCATGCCTCCATCTGGACCACATGGATACAGCTAAAAATAGATTTCTCTGGCCTTCCCCCTGCCATTATTTTGCCCCTGAGGCCCATGGAGCAATGCCTGAGCTGTGCGTTAGTTCCTGCCATCTGACCCAACCAGGAATGGTCTCTTGACATACTGTTGAACTGTAAACATAAAACACTGCATGAACAAGAGAGAACTTATCCTCCACCTTATATTTTCCTCATTGTTCTTTCTATTGCTCCGTGATAAAGCTGCAAGCCCTCCAACCACAGCTGCAAGCATTGTTAGGACTTGCCAAAGCTCATTAATACTAAGAGCGATAAGCTCTGAAGGACAAATTGTGCTCATGTATCAGAGAAAGAAAAAGTTACAAGGCACTTTTTTCTCAAACCCCTCCAATGTTTTGCTTTGTTGGTAACAGTTCCAGCTATCCCAATGCTCAAAGTCTAATGGCTATCACCAGCTTATCACAGCTGTTGACAAAACAACTGCAGCCACTAAGCAACACTTAAGTCTTTTTCCTGCCTTCTTTTGTTTCACAACAGGAACACTAAGGAGATGGATCTTGCCTTGAGAATTCCTATTGAGCATTTTTCTGGGAGAAACGTTACATTTTTCTGATTATGCATGTTTTAATGGCATCATCCATCTTCATACTTCACAGGATCACACCTTTATTTTTGTACTTTAGCAAGCAGGAGTAATACCATTAGAGAATTTTGGTTTCCTTACCCATTTTTGTTTTTGTTATGCAAACAGATGTAGATGGAGGTAACGAGGGAATGCATGTTGCTCACAGACTCATAGGTTGCAAAATCAAGCCTTTATAATAATAGCATAGCATTACAATGACTACAGAGAACGTGAAACAGGTGAGGACATTATATTAGAACTTTGATTTTAGTGCAGTAATATACATTAGTGTTGTTTTATTACATATTGTTATACATTTATAGTATTATTGTGTAAAAGACCTGTTTCAACTCTGTTCAATTGTTCCTTGGCATTTATATAGTGGCCACCAAAGTAAGGGATCACACTTCTAAACACATGAATATAAACACCAGTTATATTTTGGTAGTGGTCTTCTTTCATTACATAACTCAAAACATTGTGCAATAATATTGCTTTGAAAGAAAATTAGTCTCTCTGAAAAGTATAAGGTGCTCAAACATTTGGCCATTGTTTGCAAAAGCCGTCCAGTCACTGTGGCACAGCCACTGATGGCAGCATACAACACTGACTAGGAGGGAAAGAAAATATTATACCTTTTTACAGCATTAATTCATTTATAACATAACACATATGTTTCTCTGTACCAGTACAATAAATCTCAATTCTCCAGTGCCCAGAATAAGCAGTAATAATGAGAGAGTAGGATAAATACACAGATAGACAGAAAGGTAGACAGACAGAGATATATAACATTGATAACAGATAATAACACATAATGATCATCATCTTCACCGATTACAGTAATTATTATTATCATCATTATTACTATTGCTACTAATTCTACTACTCTTACTACTGTAACTATTACTACTAGGGGGTTAAAACTTCCATATAAAATGAAAATAAATTGCATGTGTAAGGTGTTAAGCTCTCAGGGAGGACCTCCAAAATTATTTAGCATGCAACCCATTATTTAGCATACAGCTGGTTAGCAATTTTCCGCTAAAGGGTTGGCTTGTATCCCAAGCATTCTTTGTTGTTGCACATACCTGGAGCTGTAGAGGGCTGAGTCCAGACGCAGCAGCAGCTGCCATTGTTGACGGAATGAACTGCACGGGGTAGTTATCACCTGTCGGGAAGAACAATGCATACAGGTTGAGACAATGAGCGGAGAATAACAGAAGGCATGTGCCAACACAGCCCTGCCCCTGCCTGCACTCCCAGGCACTGCTCCGAGCCCAAACATCTGCAACAACAAAAGGCTCAGCTGGGCAGATTCTTGCAGGATTACTTAGGAACTTTTTTTTTCTCTGTTAACCGATGGGTGGTACGCAATCTGGCAGAGCTGCTATCTTTTTTAATATCTATTTGATTGTTTGTTGTTCCTTTATAAAGCAGCGAAACCATAGTGTTTTCTAAAGCACTTACAAAGCTGAAGACATGTCTCAGTGCTGTTTGACAACGTATTGTGTCATAGTGAATTATGTGGCAGACGAAAGAACACTGATAGCCTTCAATGAAGAGTGTTTTTTAGTTTTGTTAGAGGCAATAATTTACAAAGGTAATCGTACATCAGCTTTAAGAAAATTACAGTTGTTTTATTCTGTGCATAATATGCTGTTTTATGCAGTTATAATCCATGCTTTATTATAACTTGTAATACAATTTGGAAAAAAAAGTCACAGCTTGGCAAAAGAAAAGCAAAGATTTTGAGACACTCAGCTGAATTCAAAGAACCATGTAGCAATGAAAGTGTTTTGTACAATACTGGAATCATATGAGAGTAATTTAAAAAAAGATCTATGATCAATTAATTGCTAGTTAAAAGTTTATAGAATAAAAAATTATAGAAGACAAAGTACAGTAGATCTCTTTTGGTCTTACCAGGAATGTCTCTTTGAGCAAAGATGCGAAGAGAGAACAAAAACCTGTTTGTCTAAAGCATGTTTTATTAAAATGCTTGTGAGGAAATAAACTGGCTTCAGGTTCGAGTCCCCCTTCTGCTTGTCATTTCATCTCAAAAACATGAAGCTACTACAAGCATTAATGTAAATGTATACACCTTTTTTCTGTAAAACCAGTACAGTATAGTAAAACATAGTCAGGAAACCCAGTCTTTATTACAGGGTCACATTCAAAACATGCCATTTATATTTATTAGTTAAACTGGACCCCAGTGGGCAGATATTGTACATAGCTGAGCCTCCATCTTTATGGCTTTCTTTCCCTCCTGTTGGAATTAATGGCTTTCCCTGTCCTAAAAGGGCAAGTGGATTTTGATAGTCAATTTTGATATTAAATTAGGCTATTACATACTATAACTAGTGCCACCGTTCCTCTCCTTTACCGTCACTAGCTGTGAATGAGGTCACAGCACAAGAGACTCGAGACTCATGGCTGGGGTACTCTTCAGGCACAACACAGGGAAGTCCAACTGTCTGGGCTGCCTGCCAGGCCTCTGCCTGTCAAATGAACCCTGCCCCTCCACTCTGCTTAAAGGGCACTTTCATCTCCAAGCTGACTCAATTCAGGCCTTCCTTCAGGATCAGTTGCCAACCGGGCCAAAAGATGTGCTTGTTTTGTCAGGTGGAACGCATTTCTCAGGGTGTCAGACCAAAAAACTCTTTATTGCTTCTAAACGAATGCAGGCTCCTGCTCCAGCCTTGCGTATCACTTTCTGACCCTGGGCTTTAAAGACATAGCCCTGTCTCCTACTACTGCTTTTCACTCAGCTCTAATAGAATATTTCCACACAGAAATCCGTGACGTGCAGAGAATTCCCACTGTTTCATAATGGCATATTTCAGACGCAGTACAAAACTGACAAAAAGCCAGGATTCACAGAATGTTTGCTTAAAACCTTATGTTGAATAATCATAGAAATGAAAATCTACTTATATTAAAATTGAATTCTACTGAAAATCTCCTTATCACTGATATCTCAGCCTTGTAACTCCTAATATGAATAACTACATTAAAAAATACCAAAAAATACACTACTACAAAATATATTCTATGAAGGTTTTTCTTAACTATCCACAACAAAAGCCAAAACTCAAACTGTCTGTGTTGCTTAATATACTCTTGATGTTGCAAAAAGAAAAAAAAAAGTAGTTTCCATAAAAAAGAAATCCTGGCTTTTGCCCACTTTTGAGAAGGACTGACAGAATGTTTTTCTGTTTATGTAATAAGAACTTCGTGGTTAAAAACCTAAACTTAACCATCGATATCCGAGTGAAAAAAGCCACATATAAAGAGAGAGAGATATACATCTTTGAATTAGCAGTCTTTATCTTTAAGGACCATCATTTACTCCACAGGTTGGAAGAGTCATCTCAGGTAAGAGCTCAAAGACATGAGGGCCTCCGCTATAGCTCACTATAGCTGAAAGGCTTTAGCAGTGCACTGAAGATCTCTGGAGCATGTGCTTACTTACACACTTAAAGTGATTGAAGTACCTAATTCACAATACATTTTTACATTTCAGTCAAAGCTTCTATTTGGCCTTTTGTTTTTTTCCAGAGAGTCCCTGACTAAATTAGACAAATTTTTACCAGAAATAAGGACACTTGGTTTTCTTGCCATTATACAAAAAAACTCTAGAATAATACAGACACCATCACCAAATACCAGAGGTGTTGTAGTGTTATTACTACAAAAGAGAACCCCTCCCCGCAACTGTTGCAGTGCCATTAACTCCCTGGTAACAGTACTACACTCCTATTAGATTTCCCGCCACTGAATTTCTTGGCCCCGTATAGTTTTGCTTATCTTTTAAAAGAATCACATCTTTTAATCTGCATTATTCTTGGCATTACATTTTTAACATATTGTCAGACCATTAAGCACAGTGTGTATATAGACAGAGGCAAACGACAATAGTGTTCCGATGGCATCAGGCTCTACTACATTTCCTCCTTGTACACTTTGTTGCCTCAGTCTCCTGTGGAGTTTATATCATGTATATTGGCCTTTATGGGTTTTCTTTTCAGATTATATTTTGACACTGGTTATGGATGTGCTGTGCTGGTGGTCGGCGACCTTGTGGTTTCAGACTGAAAATCTCCCATGTGAACGAAAGCAATGTTATTTATAAACACTAAATGCACATGTGAAATGTTCAAATACTGACGAGACAAGGTAAGGAAAAAAAAAGAAGAAACGGAAGCAACTCTACTTTACTGCATGAATTGTTTTAGAGACTTTTATTTCCCCCCACTGTTTTCTTACAAATTCATGAATAATTCATTACCTTTATATGAGGCGACCCATGCTGTAGATTCAATAATAACTTGTGTTATTTGTACTAAAACATTTTCCATGTCAAACATATTAAAAAATCAAACTTGCAAAAGAATTCCCTCTGGCACTTTGTTACAGCTGTCACGCTCCTGCAGTTTGAAAATAGCTGGATTTCTTTTTTTTCCATAGTTTGGGCTTTATAGTTAATTTATTAGCACCACTACCCCACCCTATACTGTTCTGCAACTCACCTGCTGGCGACAAAACCTTTCTTTCTTTTAAGATGAAGTGCTGACAACATTTTTTCCCTCAAAGCTTAACTGAAAACAAAAGACACACAGGGATTTTTCTCCCCCTGCATTCTGGACATAAATTCATGTCTCTGACAGCCTTTTCTTCTTTTTTACTGATCTGTAACTTGTCATTTCCCAAGGGTTTATTGATATGTCAATAGGAAGGTCTGATACAAGGGGAAAATCCTTGTGTGAGCATTTTTTTTTTTGCAGACGCCCAATAGTCAATGCAAAGCAGAAAAGGAAAAGGGGGGAAAGGCACTTTTTCTTCAGAAATGAGCACTTTGGGGGCAAGAATTTGCTTTAATTTTTAATTACTGAGGCTGAGAATACCACCTCTTTAATTTTCACAACAATACAGAGCAAGGATCAAGCCTCATGGTTATTGCCCTGGCAGAGAGTCAATTGACATGTTGTAGCAATTTTTTTCAAATTTGTTTTGGGATTTGGAATGCTTGCGTGAGGAACAATTCTTCTCGCAGTTGCACAAAGAAAGATCCGACATGTCAGGACAGGTAACCGAGCTCTGCCCCTGGGCTCTGACTCCCTGAATCCTGACTCAAGGAAGACCATGCTTGTAAACACAGGGGTCTGAATAAAGTGCTGCTGCTCGTGATCTCTTATGCAAGACCTGCACAGCTTTGTATGGCTCAAACTGTTTGTTTATAGATAAATTACCTTAATAAAGTACACGGAGATTCTGTCCGTCTGTCAAGTTTGTATTGTGAGCATCAATTGTTTGAAGCTGTCCTTTCAGTGTTAAACTGTTTCAGTCAATAGTCTCAGAATTAGGTTTCTCAGCACATTGGAGCCTTTATGTCTACAGAATAAGATAACTTTTACCATTTTAGACAGTTATAAAACTAAAAAAGTAATAACTACAAAAATAAAAATGCTAGTGAAACCAGTTACTAAATTATTAAAAGAACCCAAATGAAAAGAAACGGAAAGCAACAGAATATATTTAATGGATAAATGCCTACATTCCTCCATATATTATTCTGAATGAAATAATAACTTGGTATACCAGCCTATTGATAACATGAAATTGTGTGATTAAAAAGAATGGGATCTTAGAAGAAAAAGCTCATAAATGCTAAGCAGCAAAAGAAAAAAAGAAAACCTAGATTAATAACAGTAAATATGACAAGTATTCAGCTACACAGTAATTAAATTTGATTACATATTATATATCCAATGACCATTGACCAAGTTGACTCGTAATTCTAAAAGGTCAGTGTTACGTTAAAAAACCTGTATGTTGTTTTAAACTGTACGATAAAAAAACTTGTAAAGTGTGAAGGAAAATCAAAACAAGACCAAACCTGTTGTGCTTTTTTTTTCTAAAAATGCTTAATTAATAGCTAAGTAGCCTTAATATTAATGTATAGACTAGACTGTGAAGTTTTACCATTGTCTGATTGTGACTCAGACTGGCTAGAATGATTAGCTTGTGATGTAGCTACTGTATGTGTCAGAAACATTTAAATTGAACAAAGCACAAGCTAATTTCAGAGCAAGAAGGGAGAATGTCATACACAGACAACAGTTTGTCAGAATGAGTTGTAAGCACTCATGCATTTTAAAGTGGAAAAGCAGTAATTATACATGTTGCGGTGTACATATTTTAATCTGGATGGAAATTGGTCAAAATTCTGGACAACAAATAACTTGCTTTATAGGAAGTGATTACTATGTATTATTAGGGATTCTTACAGTTTTTAGTATTATTTATGTTACAACACCCATGCTCTCTAAAATTCAATAGGAGCTGTTCTGTTGATCTTTACTTAGCATTACATTAATGCTGCATGTGATTTAATGCATACATTAAATTAAGTTTAGCATTCAACAAACTAACGTGAACCACACTCATGATGCAACCTTTAAAATATTGAAATAAAATAGCATATTGGGAATATTTTTGTGAAATTATAATAAGTTTCATTCATAAAAATAAATTTCATTCCATATTAAAAATATTATGCCCTATATTCTGAGAATATGTAGAGCAAATTGTTAAATAGGGCTCTGTAAAGGTCAGTTAAAGGGGCTTAAGAAAATATTACCTTGATCTTGATTCTTGACATTTGTTTGATGTCCGTTGTGCAATGCAGTATGAATGCTATATTGGTATCAAACTGAAAGAATCTGTCTTAGGGTCAAGCTAAAATCGCAGGAGTCACATTTGAGAATATGTTGTCAAACTTCAAAGAGTCCCTATCACCTAGTTCTTAAAGTTAGAGCAGTTAAAAAACAAACAGAAAGAATATTGCACAAAAAAAACAACAAAAGGGTAAAAAAACAGACAGCGCAGGGTGTATCTACGGTTTTGCTGCTTGTTCTACTACCTTGGGAAAATCACATGCAGCAGAGCTATACTCAAAATGACAAAGCCAAGGGATTTTATGACTTGAGCATGTCGAAGTTACAGTATAATGCTTTCACGATGACATGGTGGTTACATTCTAGCTTTAGCATAGCTAATCCAACCTTAAATGCGTAGTTTCACTGGAGTTCAATGCTTAAGAGTATTGCTGAGCGATTTCATTATTCCCCATGTGAGAAGTGACTTAGTCAAAGGTTTTGTAAAATGGATAATAAGAAAGTTTTCATATATAGAAAACAAGTAATCCGCTAACAATACATGTATATTACTCAAATTTAAAAAGAACAATTAAGACTTGTTTTTAAGCGTAACTTTAAAAACCTTTTAATGGTATATGAGCAGTATTTCAATTTTACGTATTAGTATGTTAGAAAGGTTTAGGAATTTGTAAAATGATTTACAGATTTACAGTCTGACCAGAATTTAAAGGATTTCATTAATACATACAGATTAATGCATATCCATTCTCGAGAGGAAGAACTGCCAAAACACCATTTTTGTCACAACCCTTTATCTATGTTTTGAAACTTTTCATGACTTTTTGATAAAACCTCAAGTGCATGTTCTGTTGTAACAAATAATCTTCCTGCCTTGAAGTACAACAAATAATAGATAAACTGGACCTTTTCTAGCTCCGCAAATGTTCCCAGAAAAATGTAACTGAAAATCCCCACAGAAGAGGTCCTTTAAGGAGTCATTTAAGGAAAATGGGAAAGCGAGCAATCAAAATACACTGGGGACCAAAAAAGAACAACAAAACAACGGAGCCTGCAGATTCACAGGACACTCGTGGACTGGGATGCGGATGAATGAAGAGGAATGAAAACACAATCCAGCCGATGCAGTGGCAGAAGTGCTAGCCCCGGAGGGGTGCTCTCCAGACACATCACGCCTGCTCGGAAGTCTCAGGGCGGATGGTTTACTACCGACAGAAAATGATCCCATCTTAAGGAGCAAGGCATCAAACCAAAAACAAAATCCACGGACGACCTGGTTTATTCAGGTGAGAGCGAGGGGGCGGCGGAGTACCTGGCTTGTATGTGATTCCTGGCGGGAAAAGGAATCCCTGCTGGGCTGCTGCCGCCGCTGCCAGAGTGCGCTGGTCGTGTGGAAAAATTGGGATCATGAGCGGAGGCATGTGACCCTGAACCTGCTAAACACAAAAAGACCTGTGATCAGACACTGCATAAATTCAACTTGACAGGTACTTCTCCAGCGCTGATAGCAATCGTGTGTTCACACAATACCTGCCCAAGCCTTGCTTTAACCTAATCCCCACCACTTTCACATTATCACATCAAAGATCCTGCCTTTCATTGTTTTGGCCTGTGTCAAAAGGTGCAACTCTCAGGATAAGGAAGTATTATTCTGCCTCACATTTGTATTTTCATTCCATGATTACACAGGGAATCAGAACAAGTGTATTCCTGCACATGTCACCACTGAAGTTCATTTTGCCTCACAGCAGAGAAACAAAGGATGTGACGTTTGTACATCTGGGCCCTCTTTGTGACTGTGTCTGATTCAACAGACAGACTCAGGACAGTCTGTAGTGTAGTGTCGGAAATATCTGTCAGAACAAGAGAAATGGCACTGTACAATTGGAACACGCCCAGGAAAAAGAACAGAAACATAAATAATACAGTATCATGTGGGAAACTTTTAAAAGAACACTGCAAAATGTGTTTAAAAGACCAGATATAATCACTTACCATAATTCAAAGCCTCAATAACAAAAATTCAATCGAGTAAACCACATTGAAAATCAGATTGCTTTATTACCTCACAGGGCTCAAGGTACTGCTGTTGACTTTACAGTTATCATGTGTTATGTCGAGAGCACTATATTCCTGAAGTATTAATGTAAAAGTCACACTTGACAATGCCAGTGTCTAAGCTCTGAATAACCTGGAAAATAACTTCTTGCTGTTGTGATTCAATATATTTCTCAAGGAGGCTAGACAGCAGAGAATACTCTCCACAAAAAGAGTGAATTTGACAGTGTATTTTGGCTTCTGGCCTTGTCTACAGGAGCATGTGATGCTGCCCCCTTAAACTAGCATATAATAAAACAAATAATAATGAAAAATACATGAAAATAAAACAAAACATCAGTGAGTAGGATAAGCAGCACTCGAGGCCACCTTCCTGCTTGACAAGACCACTCACACGGGTGAAGGAAAGCATCAGACAAAGAAATGTTAAAGGGGTTTAGAATTAAGGGTCAAATTTACTGAGAATCTGGGAATTACACATTGTATTCGATTAATAAACATGGCTGCTTATAGAAATACAACTTTGTTTCTTCTTACCAAAATAAATAAATTCTTTAAAATAGGAATACAAAATGAAAGAGATAAAATATAGTATATTTAAGTCACTAAAGCTTATAACATATAGTACAATTGAAAGCTTCCACTTATTTTATTAAATGTACTTTTCAGTGTAGTGTAGGAAACGTATTTGTGCGTTCACAATAAAAGAAATGGTATTGTAATGTAATGTTTGCCAAAAAGTTTTTTGCAAAATCCATTGCAAAATGCATTTCATGTCTAAGACACAAAACCTTGCGCTCTTTCCTGATCACTTTGTAGCCACAATGATCAATCTTAACAATTAAACTGATATTCAGATATGGTCAGAGGCAATAGTGAACCTGCTAGGTAGATGTGGTGAAGACTACCAAAGCAAAAAATATATATCTACAATTTTTTCTTTCAGTAGAAGCAGACACACATTGGCCCAATCTTGCTGTCATATCCCCCTTCCTGTCTCTACCTGACGGGGTACAGTTATGCTACTGTGTGTCTGTGAGGGTTAATCTACTAGCCACTCTGCCTTCCTCTGGGGAAAAGGAATGGAAACTGGGTTAATAAAGGTCACAACCAAAATAAACACTTTACTGTATGTTTCTGAATTCATTCCTCTTTAAAATCAACTTGTAATAAAACCTGGTCTGTGTGCAATTACTGCCTTAGCACTGGGGCATGAAATCAACTAGCTTTGAGCAGCTATTTCTTTTTACATTTTAGCTGAGGTAAGCCTGGTTATGATATGTATTTTTTTTTCTTTACACAGCCTTAGCTTAGTTAAATTGGTCCTAATCCCTAAGTGCAAACATAAGCCTTTAACCCCAGAAAATTGACCACTTGTGCAGCGAGTTTGTTTCAGTGAAAACTTCACTATTTTTTAAATCACGTTTTCGGTCACATAGTCACATTGAAGACTGTGAAATGCTTAAACTCTAATGATAAAACAATCCTTACTTATCATCATCATCATCATTATTATTGTTGAGCTACACCTGTTTCTTCTATCGCTGAGAATACAAAAGCCTTGATGGATCTTAGCCAATCTTAGCCAATAGCAAAACTTAATTTTAATCACAAAAGATTATAGCAAAAGCTTGAGTATTGCACCCCAAAACATCCAACTTTCATCGGAAATAAGAACTGATATACTCTGAAATCATTAAATACAGTCAACAGATCAAATGACAAACTGTTCCAATAGCACTTGTGCTGGAGTATTTTTATGTACAGTATATTCTTCAGGCTTTACTTGGAAATATAAGTATCAACTATACTTATTGTTAAAAAGCTAGATGATTCCTTAATAATAACAATAATAAGAGTTACATTAAGATCCTTTGCCACATTCACGTTCTGGGCTACTTGGTCTATAACGCACAACTGATCCAATAATTTGGACCAAACTTCCCATGTTTTTAAAGATGAAAATCAAATATTTAAAACAAAAGAATGACAGAATGTCAAAATTCTGACAATTTGCTCTATCACAAATTAATTATTTATCATCACAAAAAGTAATGTTGCTGCATTTACATAAGGCACATAGGGCAAACACAAAAAGACTGATTCTCACTGACAAACTCTGATCAAAACTGAATATCAGATTGACCTGAAATTGTTAGGACAGCTAATATAAATTACAAACTAGGATGTGTTTTCCTTTTGACATTGATATCACACTTGCGTTTTTATCTACATTTTAACTCGGCTTTTTACCTACTTTCATTTGCTGTATAATTCCACAGATTTAGAATAGCTTTAAAACTGCAATCCTTTATTTCCAGTTGCCATATGACAAAACACACAACCCATCCTAATGAGATCTTTAAAAGAACAAAGTCTGAACCGAACACTGCCCACATATTAATTATAACCAGATAGCTGGGAAATTATCAACCTGATTTCAGAGTCAACATCCAATGTTGTTAAAAATCCCCAGAGCGATGTGTTCAGTGTCTTTTGACCACAGACAGAAGAACAAAGAAGAACAAATTACAACAAAATTGTAATATAAAATGTTTTTGTTTTCTAGTCTACAAACAACAAAATGTATCTTCTTTTTACTCTTTTTGAAATGTATTTTCTGTTCAAGAAAAAGGGTTTTGAATTTCCTATCCTGAGCTTTACAGAATGATTTTTCCTCATAGGGTAGAGAGAGAGAGGGGCTTAAGAAGACTTGTACTGAACAAGATTTTTTTCTGTGGAACTACAAAGTAGAACAACATTCATTACATCTTTTTTAACTGAAGAACAGTGTTTTTTGTGTATGGAATAGAAGTCTGGATATTACAATTTATGTTCTGAAATACCCAGATGAAAGATTGCCCCCAGCTGCTCATGAGGCACTGTAACACATGGAAAAATATAATTAATTACACAACACAGGGCATGGTCACTGCCACAGAGTGCCAAGATGAAAAGCTCCATTTTACCAAGGGAGGAATGATCAGTCTCACATTTACAGCTTTGCTGTCTAAACCCGGTGTTAAAATTTCCCCCAAACAATTTAGGAGGCTCTAGCAAATTAACGTACGAAAACATAACAGTGGTTTAGAGCCGTCTCTGTTGCTTCGAAGCTAGTTCAACAAATAATTGAAGTCTTTTGCCAAAGGTTAAAAAGAGAAGTTAAATATATAATTTCATTTAACAGTGAACAAATTAATCCAACAGACCAAACATTTCTATACTGAAATTAACAACGGTTCAGTTGAAACAGGAATAATAGCCACTGTGACTTTCAGCCATTAAATTACACAAAGCAATTACAACTGCCCTTATTTACCTGAGTCCATTATATTATTATAAAGAATATTGAACAAGTGCCCTTTATATTTAAACTAGTTTATGCATAAAGGCTAAAGAGTGTATAATGTGCTGCTTAATGTAGTTAAATTGATTTCAGTTATATTTTCTTCCTGTTATACTGTACAAATGCTATACCATTATTATTGCAAAACGTTCAATTTAAATTTAAAAAGAAAGGTTTAATTTTGTTTCATGCAAAAAGTTCAAAACTGAAGGTGAGTATTAAAAACTCAGTACATTCAAAGAACAATGGTTCAGCTAATAACTTCCTTACATTGCTGCATTGTAATAAGTTGTTATATATTCCCAGCTTTTTTTCTAGTTTTTAATTTGCATTTTGCCTAAAAAGTAGAACCACTACAATAAGGCAAAAATGAAATCAAGTTTATAAAACGACAGACAAGCGAGCACAAACCGGAAAATAAAGGCAAGTACAGTGTAAAAACAATTAACTAGAAGAGCAGAACAGACAGCATCGATACAACACAATAACATAAGCACCCTCTCATTATGGATTCCATGCTTACAGTGAACATGTGCAATTGGTAAGTTTCCATATTAAACATATTAGTGCAATACAGTGTAACTTAAATGAAAGGTGGAAGATTAGACAAACTCTTTTTCCCATTGTAGGCAGCAACACCACCAATCACCACATAATATACAACAGAATTCGGGTCTTCAAAATGGAAGAAATAATGCAAATCTACTCTGCTGGCAGGGAACTAGATCTGGAATGTATGGGTTAAATCATGAGGGGATGACAATGAATTTAGTATTAATCTTTACATCAATACTGGCCAAGAAAGGAAAATCAAAACCTCTGGAGACTTCACCTAACCAACTGCAGTTGTGTAGGAGCTAGGCAGGCTTGAAATATTAAGAGTTTCTTTTAAAAAAATAAAATTACTCTTATTGTGATATAAATAGGCTGATATACAGTAGATGATTAATTTGAGCTACAATGCAGTGAAGTTAGTTATTTTGTTCCCCTCCCGATCTTACTTTGTGCCTTCTCCAAACATCCCCAAGACAG